ACACACCTACAAATAAAAGTACCAATACAATTTTTTAAATATTAAGTTCAACGTTGAAACTATTCTCATAAAATTAATACTTTAATGTGAATTGCAGTGGATTTTTATTTTATATTCAATATATATTTTATATATCCTTGTAGCACTGACATCCTGGCAATTAATACTGACATAACTTTTACTTTTATATTTTAAAATTTAATATTTTGCTCTATTTAAATAATAGAATGCTAATTTTTAATCATATTATATAAACATCACTGTATTATAATCAGCAATGAAATAATATAATATATCTAGACTTATCATGTTACAATAAAAGGGAGGGAAAGAAGAAAAAGGATGGAAGGCTTTAGTAGAAAAACAGAAGTGGAAGACTAATTTTGTTCCTGTACTGTAGACCTAACACAAATTGATAAATGTATCTTATAGGGTTTTATTTTGTTTTGTTGCACTGGAGGCAACACAAGCCTATCATCTGTCATGTCCTTGAAAAAAATATTGTGCTGTATGTTGGGAAGCAACATTTCAAACTGGTATCACTTTGCAATATTTTTTAATGTGGTTCAATACATTGCAGTAGGGTTTAGGACATACCGTAATTCTGCTGTATGTTTACAACAGACCAACAAAAGACCTACCCTTTTGCAAAAGAGCTTTCAGCTTTCAGGTTTCACCCACCCTAAATTTTACCACTATTACTCATAGTCACAGGAAAAATGTTGTTGCCAACATTAATGCAGGACAAGGCAAGAAACTCATCTGTACAATCTTAAATAATTTTTCTCTCCTGTCTCCAATATTCTGTGTGAGATTAACTTTCTCTCCCTCCCTCCTTCCCTCTCTCCCTCCCCCCCCCTCTCTCTGTGTGCGTGCAAATGAGTGTGCATGTACAGGGAAATGGCTGATATACAAAAGGTTAACTCTACAGACATGTTTTTTTCTGAAAATCAAATATGTTCATGTCAGAAAAAATATTTTTAATTATAATCAGAGGTTCAAAACCCACTTTTTCAGCTATGAATGAATTATTTCACAGTCCTGAAAATTATCCAATTGGGAACTTAAACCTTTTTAAACTGCAGAAAATTCAAACATGAATGATTCAGACTATATCAAAAAGAAAAATCTTGGTATATCTTTATTTTAGCTCTCTAGGTAACCAGTTTATGGTTAAAGATGAAGCCTATTAGACTACATCTCCTGTCTTTCTTATCTAGCCAGATTACTGATGAGTTGGAAATGCGAGAACAGCCAAGATATAACTCAGTTTTTGATATAACTTGGAGCTGCCTTTTGAAGAATTATTTGGACACTATTGTTGGCCCAAAATGTATCACTTCACTTACAGATTGGTAAGGGCTTCTTTAACAGGATTCCATCCATTCTATGAGTACCGCACTGGTTACCAATATATTTTTTTCAATGCAATTCAAAATATAAATTTTAATTTTTATAGCTCTACATGACTTGTCTTCCAACTACATTAGAAACCTTCAGCCGAAATCCAACCTTCCTCTGTGGGTCATCTGAGAGAGGTTGTTGGGTTCAGCTCATCCTATCTATTCTACTTAATTCAATGGTAAGCCCACAACTGGAGTCTAACTTAGCATAGGCTCACTAGAGAAGACAAGCTGCATGTGAGAGGAATATTCTGTCAAACTGAGGATTTATTTTATTCAGTTAGTCATCTTCATGAAGTTTCTGCTTCAAAAGCATATTCTAATTTTGTTTTGGGAATTGTTCTGAATGAAAATAACTTGATTATTAAGTGCATTTTTACTGAGGGCCTGGAGAGAGTTATTCTTTGGTAGCAGATAGAGAGAAATGGGTTGCTATGGGAACAGCACTGTCACCATAGCCTCTTTCTTGATTTCACTGAAAACAGCTAATCTATAATAGTATAAACAAGGAAGAATCCTCCCAATGAGATGCAAGCTTAAATGAGAAGTTCTAAACTCCAGGAAAGAGGCAAAATCCTCCGAATAGAAACTAACATGGCTCTCAACAAGTAAGCTAGAATTGGGCCAGTAACTTTCTCAGAGATGGTCCCACTAAATTTGATGCAAAAATAATTCTGCCAAGCATATTCGTATGCATCTACATACTAATCTAGAAATCAAAAACTAAGAAAATGGATTTTCTTAGATATTAAAATCAAGTTTTGAATTGCCCATGTGGATAGGAGCCAGAAACAAAATAGAAGCTGCAGATGGAACTCTTTGATTCTTACCTGCTGCTGACTTTGTTCCTCAAGATTGAGCTTGACTTCCAGAGATTGCCGAGCTTCTAGGAAGGCTTTCCGGTGCTTGCGGTCTGCCATGTAGTAAGACATGATACCCACACAGATGGTGCACAGATAGATGGCAACATTGGATAAGATCTTGAATGAAAAAGGGATAAATTACAGTTATCAGTCATCAGAAGAGAAGTATTTTTGTTTTCCTAGAAGTGGAGTAAGTGGCCTTCCAAACTCTGATGAATGCCAACTCCCATTCATCCTCTGCATTAGTCATACCAAAATACACTGGAGGTTTATATATTGCCCATTCCTTGTCCAAAATATTGAGGTATGGAAGATGAGGCAATTGAGCCCCCTTTCTTATCCATTTGAGTTTTCACTGGCAGAAGGTTGCAGGAGGCCATCGTAGCCAAAAAGGGAGTTTGGGAGCCTGTTTTCGCTGGCAAAGGGTCAGGCTACCAGAGGCACCCCCAACCCGAGTGATGTTGAGCTGGCCATGCCCCCCCTGCACCCCTCCCCCCGAGGTCAAGCATAACCCTGATGCGGTCCTCAATGAAATTGAGTTTGACACCCCTGTACTAAAGGCACAGGAATATGGTTTGGGGGAAATGTCTTTCCCTGGGGAAAGCATATCTTAACTGTTCTTCAATATACTGTGTCACACAGTACGCTTAGCTTCCAGATACATCTTTCAATGTACACTATACATACTTATTTCATGGAGCATCCCGTCAAGTTTGTAATCTTTAGCCATTAAGCCTTCTTCCCTATCTTCTTTCTTGATAGGAATAATCTATTTATGTAAAAAGGCATTGTGAATCTGAGAATCTTACTTCAACTTAAAATTCATATAAACAGAAAGCTAAATATACCACTAGGCCAAAAGTTGTAAAAATAAGTAATCATTTCAAGATTGGTAATATTTTTAGAGCTTTCCTAAGCCAACATATTAAAGTTATTTCAAGCATACTGATAAGGTATTACATTTTTTATGGGAAGGACAAACACCTACATTTCTTTTATTTAAACTGAGACTATCAAACAGAAATGGGGGGAATATAATTTTCCAGATTTTGGGGTTTGTTATATTTTGACATCAATGTTTCTCCCGAGTACATGGAAATATAAATTTCATCTCTATTCCCCCCCGCCCCCGACAGCCATACACTCTAGGGATAATCCTTATTTGAAATTAAACAGGTAAATCACATAGACCTACATAATACTTTAATCAATTTATTGATAATGCATTTTTAAACAAACTGAAATATTGCAAGAGTAATTTGAATTGTCTAAAATTGCAAAATGACGGTACATTTTGTACAGCACATGTTTACAATTTAGTGTAGATGGATTAGCAACATCTAACATTGCCAAATTAGTATCAGTACTGAAATATATTTTGGATTATTCTAAGTATAGAGTTATAATCAGAAAGACCCTTTTGGGGTCAAACCAGCTGTTCTTTCTGAAGATGTTTAGATTCTGAGGTAACCTGCACCTACAGCTAAAGAGCAAATTAAGTCCCTATTGCCACCAACCCACTGTTATAAACCGATGATTGAAAGAGAAATCCTCTCCCAATTTTGGACTGGATAAATACAGAGGTAAAAGTAGAAAGGTAAAAGTTCCCCTCGCACATATGTGCTAGTTGTTCCTGACTGTAGGGGGCAGTGCTCATCTCCGATTCAAAGCTGAA